AACAACACTAGACACATAGATTTGCATTGAATCTCGCTTTACGTGGAAATTAAACTTGTGGTGTACTACGATATACGATATAATTATAGATCTAATTTTTCAAAGCTTCACACAATAGAGATCTCTACATTAAAATTCTTTTTAGTAACTAGAATTATCATATATAATATGTTTATCATGTATTATATATGTGTATACATATGTGTATACATATCATATAAAATCGATTTTAGTCGATATAGTTTTTATTTTTTTTTTTAATTTGTTTTTTATTTCTTGAAATAGGGACTACGCGCGTTTTGTTTGTCCTATCGAATACTATTTTTGTGCAAAAATTTTTGTGCATTTTAGATTGATCGGGAGTAGGGGCCATTCGGAACTTCACCCCAACATTTTGCCAAATAAAAAGTTGGTTTAGAATTTAGTCAAGATAATGTATTTTTAAGGATAACGGGTTGTTCTGAATCACCCTGTATGACACATTTTTATTTCATTCACGTCTATATTTTTTTTATATTGTGCAGTATTACTTTACTCAAACAGTGCAAGGCCGTTTTTTATAATGAATATGTCCATCTATTTCGGCTTAGGCATGTGAATTCGACATTTTACTCGAATCAATTATTGGAAACTCGATTCAATTTGCTCTTTAATTGATAAATTCGATTGAAACGCGGAAAAAATCCGAAGATGTTGAGCGGATTCAAACTTGGGATTTCCATACTCGCAACCTTTGCACTCAGGCCACGAGTTTAAGGGAGACCGAGGCTGGTAGGCCAATTTTTCAGTATTTGAGTTTTAAAAAATTATATGAGCGAGATATCGTTATAAATGATTAGTATATCTTGTAAGACATATATTTGACTATGTGATTAAGTAGTAAAGAGACTTAATGTTACAACGACTGAGGTATTTTAATATTTCTTGAACACCTTTCATGTTAGTCAACTAGTCCCATGGTCGAAGTTGGTAGACTTACAGTATGGGGTAAGATGACTAAAGTACAATATAAGAAGTTAAGAAAATGTTATTAACAACTTAGATTTAATATAATAACAATGTCAAAGATTTAATATAATAACAATGTCAAAAAAGTTGTTTTATTACAAAATATTATTTATCTTCTTTTCATATTTTAATAATAAAAAATTAAATGATTTCTCAACACATTAAACACAAATTATAATGATTACATATTTATCAAATTTAAACAAAATCGCTTTTACACCAAAAAATAACAGTTAAAAATTTTTAATTTTTAATTTTCTTTGAAGTTAAATCTCTTTCTGATTTTCTTTTATACGTCCTCATTATTCTATAAAACAAATTATTGATTCATTATCCAGTATGACGAAAATTTAGTAAAAACTGATATCACTGAAATTGGTTGACTAGCTAGTCATATAACCCCAGACGTTATTAGTCAACCAGCCCCGAACGATCATTTTCTCTTCAATGCTCTATTTTAACCTTAAATTAATTGTATATACAAAAGGTACTGCTTCAATAGTTTGTTTAATAAACAAACTTTAAGATATTCCTTTAACATTTATCTTACCGTAACTATATGCAGCATGAGAACATAAAATCTTCAAGAAAAATATTTACTTACGCAGCTAATTTTTCGATAAACGTTGATAATTCTGAAGTAACGTGCGATCACGGCGTAGAAAACAAGTGCATTATAGAGTGACTTGTTTCTACAGTAAACTTTTCCGCGATAAAGCACATATAGGTGCAATGTTATTAACAATTAGTCTACCTACCCCTATAGGCAACCAGCCTCGGTTTTCCCTACTGAACTGGTCTTTTGAACTCTTAAATTATGAGTGATTAAATTGAACGATTTTGCTACTCCAATAGGCAAATTGTGAAAATATTGCACAAAAATGTCATCATGAATGACGACAATTTTGCAATGATTGAACTAAGATAAGTCGCCATAACGCAACAGTTAAAACAAAATTTTGTAAATAATATTTGTCAAAAACTAAAAAAGAGTCGTTATGCATTTCCATAAGTACACTGAAACTTCATTTATTTTTTCTCTCACTAATCTTCTCACTCGGTTATCTTCCCACAGAATCTCTTAGTTATATTCCCACTTAGTTTCTCCTCTAACTCCCACTCTTACTTCTCTCTCATTCTCCACTCTTGCACTTAGCAGAGCAAACGAGGCGCGGGAAACGGCATGATTTGCAGCAGCCAATCACACTGCAATCGTAATGAAAAACCACCTTTATTCTGCAGCAGTGGTGGGATCCCCTCTGAAAGGAAAATAAGTGAAGTGCTCACGTTTCATGGGTGGGAAAATAAATGAAGTTTCAGTGTATATACATGAGTTAATTTGATTTCTTCATATGCACTTATATTTCTACATGTTTTAAACATCACATAGCTGAAATTTTTTCTCAATTATTAAACAATTTCTTTTTAAATTTAATTTTGCAAACGTGCTACTGCTAAGATGATTTGCTATATTGTTATTGTTTTGCCGAAATAGTATTTGGAAATTAATTTTGAACAGTTACAAATATTTTATAAAAGATCAATATTTTTACATCTATTTCTCACAATATATCTACATAATTGCAAATCACAATTTTTGCAAGATTTTGTCACAATTTCATAAATGTTTTCCTATCGAAGTATATGTTACTGTCAGTTACTAGCGTTATTTACCCAGCAAACAATTTGGTTGCGAGATGTTGCAGTTTTGTCGCCAACCGCCGGCGAAATTAGTAGAGCAAATCCATATCTATCTGTGTCCTCATTAGGATATGGTTTGGCGATCATATCTGTCAAACATGTGAGATGTCAAAATGAGACCAAAATCATAACAAGTCTGCCACTAGCAAAGCAAAGCCAAAGTGACGCACCAAATCCAGAACAGATTTGGTGATTGTTTGTTGGCGCCAAAATTGCACCAAATACACATTATATCTGTTACCAGCACTGTTAACAAAACAGTAGCAAGTACAGACCAAATTTGTCGTCAGAAACGTCGACAGATTGCTACCAAACGCAGATCAGATCTGTCTCCTAGAATCCAAGTGGAATTACTACAAAAAAAAAAAAAAAAGAAAATCAGTGGTATATTGCCTTATCGGAAAGGAATTAATTCGAGATTTCACTCGAATTAATTTCTAGAAGCCTGATTCAACTCGTTGATCAACCGATGAACTCCATTGAAAAAGACCGAATCTGAAAAAATCCTAAATGTAATAGCGGGATTTGAACTCGAGACCTCCATATTCGCAGCTCCTGCACTCAGTCCGCGAGACCACTTGTGTTCCTTACTAACATATAATTATTTTTATCTATTTATTCTCAAGCCTCTCTCTATTCTACATTTCATTTATTATTTATTTAAATTATTATTTTACTAAAAATGTTGCAATGCAATGTACCTGCAACAATAAAT